ATAATCAACAGCCTTGTTTGTTGGTTATACATATATTCCCCTTCATAATTTCGTTTAAAATTTTGAAAAAATTTTAAAAATTGACACCCTCTAAAAAATTCAAAGTATGGCCGACAACTAAGGCTATCAGTTATATTGTCTCTATATTGCAATCCTTTTATTTAATTTCTTCATTTCATTTATTAATTTCTTCTCTTCCTTTTCTCCCCCACTCTTTCTCTTGTCTTCTTCTAATTTTCCACTTCTCTTCATCTTTCACCTTCTCCACTTTTCCTCCTTTATTCCCTTCTACTTCACTAATTTTTCTCTTCTCCACTTCATTCTCTCCTTTTCTTTTTCAATCTTTCTCCTTCTTCTCCTTATATTATCCATTTTCCTTACAAAATATATTCTCCACCACATACCTCTTTTCCAATTTTTCTTTCTTTTTTTTTTGAAAAGTTAAGTTCTTTTTCATTCTCTCATTTTCTTCTTACTAGAACAACTACTAACACTTCTTTTTGCAGGTTTTTTCCTCTATGAAATTAGTTACTTTTAAGTTTGAGGTAAATTTATATTTCTTAATATTTTATTTTTTCATTACCTTTTACATCGTCATTCTAAACCAATTTGCAAACAACTAATTTCCTATCTCTTTTTTTTTTTTTGGCAGAATTTTCATTATAATAACTCTTTTTTATGTATTAGTAATATTATTTTTGAAGAAATAGTTGCATTGTTCTTGATAACCCACTCAAAATTCAAATAAAATGAAATTTGAAAATAAAGTGTAAAAAATATGTGAAACAAAGAGTCACCACCTACCAATGGCAGAGCCAAAAAAAACATTTTTAAGGGGGTCAAATAAAATTCCAATTAAAAAAATGAATTTGTATGTTAATTTGAACAGTCAAAAAATATTTTAAATAGTATTTATTAGTTTTTAATGATAAACTAATAATAGCTGTTAATTTAATATAAACACTATAACTAAAAGATAAAATAAACAAATATTAAAAGAAAAACATATACCATGAAGAAAGAAAGAGGAAGTGAAGATATTAATGGACAAATATTTTATAAAAAAAATATAATAAACAATTTTTTTCAATTAATTTCTATTTTTCCCCATATTTCATATTATCATTATTTTCCTCCTCTTTGTCATAAAAAATAATCTTTAACAACAAAAATACAAGAAATTGGTTAAAATGGTATGAAATAAGTGAGAATAAAAATGATAAAAATAAAATATAAGGGACTAAATTAATTTTTTTTAATGTTTAAGGGGGGCTTGTGCCTCCTCAAGCCCACCTTTGACTTCCTAGATCCACCTAACCAAATTATAGTAACGTAGTTCACCAACTGATCTGCAAGAGATTAAGGCCCAAGAATACAATTAGCAATGAGAAATGCCATACATACACTTCATAATCGTCTGTAGAAACTACAGCTACGTGCTTTAACGAGGGTGTGAATGAAATGAATGAAAGCTATTGCACCTGATTGAAGTAATTAAAACTAGATGGGTGACATTGAAAATGAATGAGAGACATGGACTTAATTAAAGCACATTAAAGTGCATGGATAGATTTGAGTAAATGAGAAACTGAAGGGACTAAATTGCATTAGATTGAAACTCTTGGGGTCGAATTGAACATATATATTTTTTATTTTTATTTTATTTTTTATTTTTTGAAAATGCTGAATTTAACTCTTACTTAATTATAATTAAGTCTAGAGTGACTAATCCGACTTAATTGAAATCAATAAAAAATAGATAGTAAAATTAAACCTGGTTAATCAAACAATAATCAAATTCAAATATTTGCTAATCCGAACAATCAAACCTTAATTAAGATTAAAATTCTACGTTGGCCCATTAACAAAACACAAGACAGACCGAAGACATTCTTTTCCTCTTTTTTTATTTTTCTTAGTCTGAAAATCAGGGCAGAAACGACTGAAATAATGTGACCCCCAAAATTGCAAAAAATGGGTATTAAAATGCAGCTAATAAGTGATCACGAACAGATATCATAATCGCACAAAATAATAGCAAAT